GAAGGTGAAAAGGAAGAGAGGAAATCTTTCTCACTCTGAGCAGCTTTACCAAGAAATTCAGGACCACTTTTCTATCCTCGGGCCTTCAGTAATAGCCCCGAGGAATTCATGTTCTTTGTCCTTCCTGCCAAAAGTTTCCTATGGACTCCCTTCTCAGACATGCCACAGTGAAGTTGCAATGGTGAAAGTAAATCGGGCAACCTGGGCTCTACAAATTTTCAGTCTCACCTCTCTTCACTTGAGACTGACTGGTTGATGCTGTGAGGAAGCCACCATCATTTTCCCTTTAGACACCATCACCAGAGGGCTTTGTTGGTTTGGAATGAACTATTTAATTAAAGTTCTTGAAAAACGTGTGGAGCTCCGTGTGCCTGGGCAGGGCCATCTACTCGTGGGTCGGTTCCACTCAGCTGTCTGGATAACTGCTTAGGGTTGGGGGAACTGGAAGTCCAGCTGGTCATCTTGCTGTCCTCTGGCCTTCCCTCTCCTCAGTACCTGGTGTCTCCAATTTCTAAACCTTGCTGAGGTGCTGCAGGGTGGGTTGGCTTGCTGCCTCCTGATAACCTCCTCCGGAGGCACTGAGGTTTGAAGTTACTCCACTCTGCAAAATCACTTTCCGTCCTTCCATCCACTGGCCGTGTTCAGAGTTAGAGAGGTCTCTTAAATCCACAGGATATGAACTTGCATTTTTGGTTCACGTTTTCTTCATTGTTTGGGCTTAACTTGTGGAAGAAGAAGAGGACAAAGATATCACTTCCCCATCATCTTGAAATCAGAAGTTTCTCTCCCTCTGCTCCAAGTCTCTTTCATTTTTGGAGAAGAGATGAAATCTGCCATTCAACACGAAGTGGAAAGAAGGGATGAGTCTCAAGATGAAAGCATCTGGGATGAGTTGTTTTTGCTGTTTTCTTGCTGCGTTCATACAGCTGCAGCTAGAACACTTTCTGACCCTACACCAGTCCCTGTGCTAGGCATCTTTATTATGTGTAATCCTTGTGATAATCCTATAAAATAAATATTCATGTTTTATCCATGAGGAATCTAAAGCTCAGTGGGTTTGAGAAATGAGCCCAAAAGGCTACATTCTGGGCTCTTTAAATGATAGTGCCAGCATTGTAAACCAGATTTGCTTGACCCTGAAGCCATTGCTCCATCCACTACACATAGCTTGGCACCAAGAACTAGTGCAGTTTATTCTCTCATTTAAAAAAAATAATTATATATATATATATATATATA